GGGGGGGGTAAATAGCTGGTGTGACACTTCTTCAATACCAACGCGCCACACAACTACAATAACTATAGAGTTCAGCCAGTGTGTTAAACCACCACTACCTCCAAGCCTGTTTTTGCCAACCCTGAATTGCACTGCGCACCGAGTTTTGCCGAGCTTGGGTCCCATTGTATTCTCTTTTCTGGTACCTGTAGGGGGGGAAAAAAAAAAGGAAAAAAGGAAAAAAGCAAAGACGTATACAAAGGGCCTCGTTCGACACCACTTGAAAATGCTTGAGTTTCAAGGGCACCCTAACTCACGGAAGGTGTTTTTTTTTTTTTTTTTTTTTTTTTTTTAACGACTTCCCTACCAGTGTTAGTGGTGCTGATAAGAGCAGACACCACTAGCACCCGAGGAGTGGCTCCATCTATTGGTGGGGAGCATCACCTGCTGTAAAACGGGTTTCCCCTACCTTGTTTTTTCGTTCCACAACCCCTTGATGAAACCCTTGAGACGGCCGTCCTTGAAACTGAAGTGCTGACGTCATTGCACCACGAACAGTGGTGATTGGTGGAAAAAAAAAGAAAAAAAGAAAAAGGTCTGTATATTACCCGTTTTGAAGGGTGAAACCCTTGGCACCCTTGGGATTTTCGTCGATTTGTCTGGGCCGCACTTCCGTTCCAAGGGCGGACACTTGGCCGCGGGGATGTGGAAACAATTAATGACTTCAAGGGTGCGTGATTAGGGCGGGGTCGAACGATGCTTCCTTGAAAAACAGCAATTTCCAAATGGTGTTGAACGAGGCCCAAAACATTGGGTACACGTGCGAGTCTGCCAAAGGGCGTTACTGCCCTCAACAAAACACAGCAATAAGGGGGGGGAAGAAAAAGGAAAAAGAGCAACAACTCTTTGGACATGAAAGCAGCTGGATACGGAACATTGGGCACAAGTGCGTGTATGCCCTCCCAAAGGGCGTTACAGTCCTCAGCACACACGGCTGTACAAAAAAAAAAAAAAAAAAAAAAAAACGCAGT